GGTTTTCAAATAAACCTCTTTTCAGACAGACATTGGTAGAACATGATCTAACAATAGAAAGGGTAAAATAACAATATTTGGAAAGAGAATCAAGAGCTCAGAGTTGAGCAGGGACCACTGGAAACAGAGATAATTTTACTATGCTGAGACCTGTTTCTTAGGAGGAGCGATGAAACAAGGAGGATTCTTCCAAAATGCTATTTTAGCTAATATGAAATCCTCTATTAAGACATTTTGAGAGAGGAATTCTGCAGAGGCATCTCAATATAAGAGGTGAAGGATTTTGCTCTTTATTCTATATGCTATAAGGTATTGAAAGTTTCCATGAGTTTAAAGGGGTTTTTTTTAGGAGAATGTATAACACTTGATCGAATACAGGCCAGTCTGACCCTCTGTAATCAGATGGGCTTCATACGCTTACTGTGCTCTTGACTGCTTAGAACTTCAAAATTTAGCCATCTCTGATCTACATAGACAATTATTTAAAGACTGGCTTCAGTTTCCTCTTTCAGCTGTGAACAATTTTGAAATTTCAAATGGGGAAAATGAAGTATCCAGTAATAGAACTGTGAGTTAAAAGTGTTCTAAATACTGTGGTGCTAGTGACTTCAGTAATAGATGCTTCAGTACTATTTAATGGCTCTTAGTTTACAAAAATGAACATTAGACTTTAATATGGAGTTTCAACCCAAATAGCTCTTTTTCATCAGCAGAAAGATGTTGAACTCAAATGTTTTTTTCACTTCTATGCAACAGGCAAAGCTGGAGTACTGCATTATTTTTGGAGCAGAGCCCTTAAATTCAGTCCCTGCTAAGTGGCAGTGTTCATTCTGTAGAAAAGTCTAGCCAGAGCTGTGTCCACTAAGAACTTTTCCAGTCTCCCAGTTGAACTGTGTTTCAGATGTCTGGGAAAAGAGCTATTTCTGTAGAAAAACCACAAAATAAGATTCTTTTGGGGGAAAAAAAAAAATCAAAGAATGCTTTAAAAAAAAAAAAAATGCTGTACTTTTACCATCCCACTAGCTGTCCGGTTAGGCACCTTGTTATTACTGCTGTGCTGGAAGTAAAAGTGATAGTTCCTTTTTTTTTTCTGCAACAGATGACTGATTTATGTATACCAGATCAGAAAAAATGTGTGCAAAGGGTGGGGAGTTGATTTTTTTTTTTCCCTTTGTCTCCACCCTTGGGTTTTAATATATGTTATTAAGAGATACCAATAAAGGATTTATGTTTATAAATGACAGGAAGCTTCCATATTAGCTCAGTAAATTTGGATTCTGAATTAGTCAAAAAAGCATTTTCACAGGAAAGGCTTGCTACTTCTGCTCAAAGTAACATGACTGTTGTGAGCCGTTGTTTGGAACACATGTATTTTCCTCAGTCCATCCTGTACGCCGTCTACTCCAGGCAGAAATGTTTGGCTACATGAATAAATGAGATAAATTGGGGGTAATCTTTTAAAACATAGGATTTAATGGTTTTTCTCACTGTTTACTGCTAAACTGTTTAGTGTGTAGTCAACCAATTTTCACAATAGTCCTTCCCAGCAATTACTTATTCACTACAGCTGAACAAACTAATCTCACTTAACTCATGACATATGACTAACCAGCTACTTCACAGTGAAGATTGAATTGTTTGCTTGATCTGTAGTTCCATGTAAAGGCAAATGCACTTCTAGAAAATACAATTTTTTTCCATAACAAAGGTAGGTATCCTGAAGCCTCAATGCAAAGTCAAATAAACATAGTTAAAATTGTAACAGGAAGACTCTAACTTGTTGACCATACCAGTACAGTGAAAACCTAATTAAAAGATTAGTTTGTCATACTATTTATAATAATAAACTGTATTTTGAATCCTTCATCAAAATAGTACTGTTTCATTTTGCAAGGTTAGCCAAGGGAACTCAAGTTTTGCATATTTAGTACAAATATCACTGAGTTTTTAAAATTTTCAAGATGGAAAATCATTACATATTCTCTATATCCCAAGATATGTCCATATAAATGGAGGTTTCAGGGCTTGAATCTCATTTTGTACAGAAGACTTTTACAAACAAGGCCCTGTAAATTTAAGGATGGTTTAGTCGTGGAATTAGAGTAAGAATATATTTATAAATGATTAATATTGTATTATGTACACCAGCAATACTGTCTTCATTGTTCTGCTTCGTATGATGAAGACATACATTCCTTCCCTCTATACTGTATTATCTACAGTATGTGATATACCTTCATTGCTACACTTTTCTTATTTAGTGACATTTTTCCTTCTTTCATTCAGTTTTATCTCTAGTCATAAAAGGTAATCTATATTTAATATGGCTGAATCCAGCCAGGGGATTAAAAATCTAAAAATATTTTTACTCCAGCATGTGCCTGCAGGCTTGTATTTCATTGCGTTCGCTGTCAGAGCAGAGAAGGATGTGGTCAGGAGGAAATTAGCTAGTCTTTTGATCAGACGGAATATTACCTGAATCATTTTAAGAGATGGTGGGGAAAGGTTTCTTCCCAGACCAAATTTGCTTTGCTGAACAAGGCAGCCTACATTAAAATGCTGTTAATAAACAATATCCTGTCTCTCAAACCCCTCTGTAATAGCTGTATATATACCCTGAGGGAGAGTGGCTTGGAAGCGTTCCATATTAGTGTCTGAAAAGTTCTGTTAAGTGTACTGTGAGCTCTAGAAATTTACTTATAGGATAGAAATGAGTGAAGGATACATAGATTATTTATACCCCATTGAACTGTGTTGAGAAATTAATGATTACTAAGTGCCTATACTCAGCACAGGTGAGGCCATGCCTCGCGTACTGTGTCCAGTTCTGGGCTGCCCACTACAAGAGAGAGATTAAGCTACTGGATAGAGTCCGATGAACAGCCACAAAGATGGTTAAGGTACTGGAGCATCTCTCTGGTGAGGGAAGGCAGAGAGCTGTGACTGTTTAGCTGAGAAGAGAGAAGGCTCTGGGGGGGCCTCATCATTGTACATAAATCTCTGAAGAGAGAGTGTAAAGATGACAGAACCAGGCTCTTTTTGATGGTGCCCAGTGACAGGACAGAGACAATGAGTGCAAAATGAAACACAGGAGGTTCTGTCTGAACGTAAGGAAACACTTGTTGTTGTTCCTTACTGTGTCGGTGACTGAGCATTGGAACAAGTTGGCCAGAGGTAGAGTCTCCATCCATGGAGATGCTCAAAAGCTGTCTGGACACAGTTCTGAGCAAGCAGCTATAAGTGACCCTGCTTGAGCCAGAGGTGTGGACAAGATGACCTCCAGAGTTCCCTTCCAACCTCAGCCATTCAGTAATTCTGTGAGCAAAAGGTTTCTCTCTGCACTCACCATTAGGATTGTTGCAGATAACATTGCACGCTCAGTTAAGCTGATAGACTGTCAGCTTCAGTACATCAGGAATCCTTGCCTGGCAAGACTTCTGCATGTTGTCTGTACTACTGGCAACATGACTCCCTGAGCTTTATGATGCCCGGGGGACAGAAATTTGAGATAGGACTGTACAAAAGTGCCTGATGCAGGACTGCTGTAATCCTGGTTAAGTTCTTTGTGAATGCTTATAGTAAAAGTTACATTGAAAAAGAAAATATTTAAAAAAAAAATTACTTGAGGCTGAAATTCAACATCTCCTGCAACAAATGCATACTCAGTGATTAATAAATTCTGCCTTTAGCAAGTCCCAAGTTTTACTTTTCATACCATATAGATTTGTCAGTAGAATTCTGAAAATATTGACTGTAATTGAGGCAGCTGTGAACAAATAGAAAATCGTGTTTGACCGTGTGAACATGAGTTTAGAGATGTAAAATGTCACTTTGGTGCAATTACATTTGTGGTGTGAAAAAAATGTCCATTTCTGTTTTGAAGTGTATACTGTATAAACAGGTATACTTGCCATCTTAATCAGTCTTTGCCACTTAATGGAAAAAGATCCAAATGCTCTGCTTTTATCTTTCTACTTGAACGGCTGTAAGACGCCTTGTTATATTTTACTATGTACTATAGTTTTTACTGTTTATTCACTAAATGTACTGATGACTAAAATTGTAGAAGAAAGACTTGAAATGAGGAGTAAATATTTTTGATGGATCTTGCTAAAAATATGCATCTGCATAGATTGCTGTTTTTTATAAATTCATTGTAGGTAAAATACAAAGGGTACTGCTCTGAAGAACTGGATGGATTTAAACTATAAACTTGAAACAACCTGGTAATTCTGTGCATTATGATGCTTCATGAAAGAAATGGTTAACTTCTTGTTCTTTGACACACACCCCCCCCTAAAAATCCTTAGATTTATGTGCAAAATATTACATTTTTATTTATGCCATGGGCCCATGAAAATCAATCACACTATTCATGTAAGTGCAATTTTCTGGATCAGTTTTTAGTTATTGGCAGATTAATGCAGTAACTCTGCTGAAGTCACAGGCAATTGCTCCTGGTTGCTCTTGTATTCTTGGTGATAAAGCATAAATACGATGGTAACCAAAGCTCATCTATTGCTAACACTGATAGGAGGATGAGTGAAGAAAGATAACAGCTTGAAAGAAGGTATTGGAGATATCAGAGCAGGAGCAGTGCTGTTGTAGCAGATACTAAATAAAAGGCTAGCAGTTTTTGTGGATGCCCAGATGAATTTGATACACGTGAGGCTCTTTCTATTTGTTGTTGTGTTCCCCACCATGCCAAGTGTAGTGAAATACAATGAAAGCACAAAAGCTATCAAGAAAATTAACAGCTGCCTACAAAAGATACCTGTAAGAAAGCAAATTGATTTTCTTATGTGTGCAAAATCTGCCTGGGTTTCAGAAAGAACTGGATCTTTCCCAATATTGTCTGCATTGTTCTGTGAAGTTCCAAGAAGGTTCAAGAAAGAATTCAAATAGTCACTATTCATTAAGTAACCTATGTGTAAATACCATAAACTTGACTGAATAATAATGATTTTTTTATTTTATTTTTTTTTCTTTCCCAGTCAGGACCTTAAATCGCTACTCTGCTGGTACTTAGCATAAAAGATAGAAGAATGTAACTGTTCTCCTGACCTTACAGGTACGTTCCATGTAGCAGGAGGGAACCAACAACATGTGTCAGGATAATCTCTCCGAGGTTGCATACTTAATTAACTTTATCAAAGACAAAGTTTCTCTCACCTCCCTGAAATTAATAAGAGATGCAGCCGCATGTAAGTAGTTCAAAAATGATATGTAGAAGTATTTTGCAGTGTATTTTTCCCAGTGGTTTGTCTGAGTTCATTCAGCCATGTATGGTTTTATGGTTCACTAAAAAAACACCCCTGAAATTTCATAGATTGCTTGTCTTGACATGTTACAAGTGGTTTTTACATGTTTCAGTTTTGCTTCTTTTTGGAGGAAGGGCACTTTTCCTGCTCTTCTTACACTGATAGCTGTAAATTATATGTGTGTGCCTGGTTAGTGATAGCTAGAGTCCTAGGGGAACAGAAGGTACTGATCTCACTACTTGATATTTGGAATGTGAAAAGAATGCCACTTTTGATGGACTATTGCTGTCCAAATTCTAGTTGTACTGCTGTGCTTTCTGTGCTTTATCACTGTATGTTACCTGTTCTTACCTAGTTTTCATATGTCTTTTTGTCACACAGTGCATTCTGACCAAGTTCAGCTCAGAAAACAGTATATTGTGATATGTTGTAGAATTATTAAAGAAGGTGAAGCATTTAACATCTATCCATAACAAAGTATTATAACAAGTTGACTGCAGAAATATGCTTAAATTACTCTCTTCCTATTGTGGTCTATTTATTTTAGCTATACCTGCTCAAAACAGACACTTGTCAAACAAACAAACAAACAAACAAAAAACAGCCAACAGGACTACACTGATCATACTTTGTTTCTATTCCAAGCCACAGCTCAATGCCTGCCTTGAGCAAATGAGACAGGTTGTGGGCAAATGTGCCAGGGCCTGAAGAACAGGAATCATAGTCACAGTCATTTCCAACTTTATGCAGAAAGCCACATCTGCAGAGAACACTGTTGGTTTGCTTTCCACTGGGTTCTTTTCAAATGGGTGAGAATTAGAACCTTGTTTTTCTTCTCACATGGTTTTATATATGCTTTCTGAGAAGTGAATTATTGCCAAATATAGCTTATAGGACTGCAGCAGAATCTTTCCAGTCTGGCTGTCTGCAAAAAGTAGGTTCAGAAAATATAGGGCTTTTATATTTGCCCGAAATTTACAAGGAAGTTGCACATTTATATGCACTATGGAGCACACATGCAGTAAGCCTAGTGTTTCCCCAAAAGACTGTGCTTACTGTGTGGCTGATATATTGTTAAAATTGTATAATTGTGACTACGGTATTTCTGAACAAATGCATATGCTTACTGTAGTAAATCAAATACATTTTGGAATGTACATACATAAAAAACATATGTGGAACTTCTGGACATATGGTGACCTCTTTGGTGCTGCTGTGTGTGCATAGCTGATGTGACCTAAATACCAAATAAGTAGGGTACATATGTACATATATATATATGAATAACAGAGTGAGGAATCCCAGAGGAATTGGGAAAACCTCAGTAGTCTGAGACGTGCAAGGGTACACTACACAAAACCTCATGACTAAGACTCTGTACGTTAAAATTCTTAGCATCTGAGGAGAAATGCTTAGTGAAAGAACTGTACAGGAGTTATGTGGCTTGGTGACTACGTATTATCTATCCAGCAATAGTTAATGTCATTATTGGTATTCACAAATTATTCAACATTCTGTCTGTTATAATTTGCTGTGCTCATGGATGGGACCTCTAGACAGATGTTTCCAAGTATAATTCTAGTCATAATTCAGTTTTCATAGTACTTTGCATAAATGTCTATTTTTGATGATGCACTGCTTTAATTTATTACAGCATTTTTGTCAATTCTAAATGGGGCAAATTGACAGGAAAAGGCAATTGCTTTTCACACAGTATTATTGACTTCTGAGAGATTTTCAGAACTAAATTACACAGATACGTGTCAGAGGGAAATACGATCCTGTGTACAATTTATGTATTTCATGGTGTTGAGCAAGGAAGGCTAAGTACAGAAAATAGTGCTTTACAGTTAACCTGTAAATCTATTGATTTGAAGCATCTTAATTTTAAGAAAAAAAACCTGCCTGCTTGGCTAATCTACATTAAGCATTGCAGTTATCCTTGTAAAGAATAAGCTCATTAATATTTAAACTACATATTAACTGCATCTCTTACAAGGAGATTATATTCCCCATAGCTTCCATTAATTATAACCAAATTAACACGAACTGAAAATAACTGAATGGGAATGAATCTTTCATTGTTCAGTCCAAATCTTAGTAAAAGTGATAACAATATGTTTAATATAAGTAACAGTTTTGATAGTTATTCCTTATTAACTGTACAGCAGTAAAGAGCACTCCACTCATGTTGCTCAGCTCAGCAAATTGTAGAACACATCTTGAAGTAAAAGTAAATTAGTACAGTGCCAACACCTGTGTAATGTCCATTCCCATGTGATTTCCTGTTCTTCAAATAATCCTGAAAATAGCCAGTTTAGATAATTAACAGAAAGCTATTATGAAGAACAATATTCTCTCATATTGTCAGAGAACAGATTACAGTAGATTTTCTTTTGCTGTTTTCACATGATGATTAGACCTTGTTTAGGCAAAACTTTAGTGTCTTAGGTGAGACTTAGTATTCAACTGTTATCTGTTAGAAAAGTTGAAAGTACAAAGCTTTCTCAGGTTTGATTTGTTCTGGCAAATATTTACTGGATCACTGATGGATGGCAAGTTGACAACAATCTGGCAATGTGCCCTTGTGGTGAAGAGGGTTAGTGGTGTCCTGGGCTACATTAGGAGTGTTGTAAGCAACCCGAGGGAGGTGATCCTTCCCCACTATTCAGCACTCGTGAGGCCACACCTGGAGTACTGTGTCCAGTCCTGGGCTGCACACTGCAAGAGGGAGATGGAGCTACTGGAGAGAGTCCAGCGTGAGGGACTGGGCACATCTTTCCAGTGAGGAAAGGCAGAGAGAGCTGGGACTGTTTAGCCTAGAAGAGAGAAGGCTCCAGGGGCACCTCATCCATGAGCATAAATCTCTGAAGGGTGAGTGTAACAAAGGTAGAAGTACACCCTTTTCAGTGGTGCTCAGTGACATGGCAAGGGGCAGTGAGTACAAACTGAAACACAGGAGGTTCTGTCTGAAGATACAGAAATACTTCTTTTACTGTGTGGGTGACTGAGCACCAGAGCAGGTTGGCCAAATAACTTAAAAGGCATCTGGACATGGTCTGCTCTAGGTGACTCTGCTTGAGCAGGAGGGTTGGAGAGGATGACCTCCAGAGGTCCCTTCCAGTATCAACCACTTTGTGATTCTATGAAATAAATAACCAGAGGAACTAAAAGTGTGATACACTTCCTAAATCAAGATGAAGCTAAAGTTTGATACAATAGATGGATGAAAACTGTTAGTGCTAGCCAAGTGTGTGTGTTTATGGGTTAGGAGAGATGGCATCCAAAACCACCAGTGATCCCTACATGTCATAATGTTCTGTGGGGCCATTAACTGCTTATTTTAGAGTAAATCAGTTTTAAAACGGATTTGATGGCCCAGGAATTTGGATAGCGGTCTTCTTATCCCTTATTGCTTTCACTTATGATTTTATTTTCTGTTACTACCCACTTGTGTATTCTAAATGATCCTAAATTTGAGCATACATATAATAGCTGTGATCTCACAGAACTTCAGTATTTACATTTGCTTAATACCTGTTGATCTGTTTATAAAATCAAGGTTAAAACATGCAGTTGCATAGAGACCTATGTTAATTGTAAGCTTATGATATCTAGCTGTACATTCTAGAGAATGTATAGGATGTCAACTGAACCTTTTCTCAATACAATCCAAATTTCATAACCTGCCCCATAGAATTCAGTTTTTCTGCAACGACCTGGCTGGACAATCTGAAGAAGCACTCTGTGCCATGCCTTATTTATTTGTTTTTCATATGAAAACATAATTTCTGCAGGGAATTCTATTTCAGCCACAGAACGAAGACCTGTGAACAGCTCTTCTTTCTGCCTGAATGTTCCCCTATGAATTGCTGATGGTTAGGAAAGCTCACAGTGACAGAACAGGAGACATCAGCTTTGTGCTTAGATGACAATAGTCTGTGTCTGTGCTAACTGCAGCTGGCACCATTAACTACCTATCCATAGACTGAAATAAAAACAATTATCACTGCATGCATTAGAATGATGAAATTCACTCTGTTTCTATAGTAACAGGAGTGACAATTTATATTATGACCTTAAGAAAGTAGAATGTGACCATTTCTTTTTTTATTTTTTGCAGTTTTACAAGGAACAGCAATTCACAGAGAAAATAATGTTTATGATGATGCACATAATTGACATAAATAAAGGTAAGATGTGCTTTACCAGTAACAAAAAGATGCACAACATACATTTGATTTGGAATGTTGATTTTGACTTTTAAGTATTCTGTTATGTAGAGACATACCCAATTTAGTGCTGTTTGAAGTAGATTTTTCTTTTTATGTTTATTACAAATATCCTTTAAGTGGAAGCTTTACAAAAAATCAAGAGTAGGAAAGAAAATAAAGTGAGGGCTTTAGCAAGTCATAATTTTTAAATTGTTTTGCCATCTGGTCTGACTTAAAGTATCATATGAAAAAACAGGTTTACATTCTGAGCTTTTGTCTTCAGAAGCATGTTGAGGTATCAAAACTCTGCAAGAGATTATTTCATGGATATGGTTATTATATTGCAGCATTTTAAAGTCTATCCAAGCTAGCATTAATCTGGATTGTTTGTTTGTTAGTAGCAGGAAAGCTGTGGCAAAATGTTGATCAATCCTAGCTAGGATGTGTCTTTATTGATGCTTATGAAGTAGAATATTCTAGTGTGCACCTATCAAGAGATAGAGTTCCTTAGTTCTTTAGACTTATTTCAACATTCTGTTTGAATATTGCTTTGTTTCAAAATAGCCTCCCTTTCCAAAAGATACAGCATGTTTAACTGTGCAGTCATTTAGTAACAGGCATAATTCTTGAAGCATTTAATAATTTACAACCTTCCCTCTCCCTACGTATTTGTCTTGTCCAAAACCTCTTTCCTCATTATGTGCTAAATATATAAAGTGTTTCCATGAGCAACTCTGGAGCTAGGATCATCTCTGCTATGAGTAAAGGATTATGGAGAATCTCTTCAAGTTAACTAAAGCTTCAGGAGCATGACAGTAATCCATGCCTGTTGGTCTTTCCTTGCATGTAGCAAAGATGATCAGATAAAGAAAGAACAACTTAATTCTAACTCTGTGCTAAAAAAATCCTGTTCAGACACTTGGTATTCTTTCTTTAGATGTATTAATTTTTTATTATCTTGAATTTATGGGATTTTTTTTTATTAAGGTTAATGATTATAACCGATTGTAATTCCAAGGGTGTCTATGTGTTTTAGAGAAGTTTTTAACCTCCAGCTCATTTTCAAAATTAATTTTACTGCAGTAGAGCATAAAATACGACATCATACTATATCTTAACATCCTTTTCTTAGCCCAGGCTTAGACAGCTGATTTAATTACATTTTTTGAAGTGCATGGATGTTTTAAATTTTTTTATATTATGCATCCCAAACTGACAAATAGGTCTTTTCTGTACCTGCAGTTATAGTAATAAACACAGATATTCTTCTTTTAAAACTGCAAATAATTTAGTTTTAGATGATAAGCATTTTGTTCAAAGTCTGGAATATTCAAGTAATACTATCTCCATTTCTAAGCGAATTCAGCTGATCTTAACAGAAAAGTTAAGAGTAGAAATGCGGAATATTTTTAGCATCTAGGTTTGCACATTAAATGTATAGTCAGTTATATCAAAATAAATCTGGTAGTTTATGAGCCAGATCATACATCACATGTGAGTTAAGATTGTGTGAGTGTCACCACAGCAAGAAAGGAAACTGCTTAAACATAGAACAGGAAGAATGAAGAACACTGCTTTTGTTCATGTAAAAGGAACTATACTTTAAATACACCTAACACAGTTCCTCTTCTGAAGCACAAATGGAATAAAGAACTTGTTTTAAAGCACGTAATGGCACTTCAGTTTGTAACTTGGTGAGATCTAGTGTGGTCTGTGGGGAATTCTGGTTACTCTAACTATACATTCTTCATTTTGATTTTGGTGATTCTTATGTATGTATGTTCTGTACTCCTGTGAGAGTTCACCTCTAGATGGAAATATTGTAGAAGATTAGCAAGAGATTTATGTGAAATGGAGAAAAAAGGAATGTAGGTTGCTTATGCTGTTCTTGGAATTCCAATGATAGGATTATATTTTCATAGTTACATAGTTATTTCACTTATTTTAGCTTGCTTGTTTATGAAAAATGTGTAGAAATGTTCAGTCGTATTTCCCTGGTTTTCTGTAATTACAAAAGCTGGTATATCCTACTCAAACCGTGTAGTATTTCCCAGTTACTTCGGTGTTTAATTTCTTGAGGTGGCTGCCTAAAAAAGGCATGTGGGACCAAAAGTAGCATTTTGTGAATTAAGAGTTAAGGTTCCAATTGGCATGCAAGTACTATGTAAGTCTTCCAAATTCCAATTAAATTTAGAATTTAGAAAATCAAAGTCCAGCTAATAATAAGATCCTTAGCAGAATATATGAGATTGAATAGTTAAGCTGTGAACAGTCATGTGTACACATCGCTTTTTAAACCAGGTATTTTCCTACCGTAAACAGCTGAAGGATCATAATGATGGCTCACCAGTAGATTATGTTCCCACACACAGCCATGCATCATTAAAATATTATTGTAGAGAGATTTATTACTTTGCATTTAAAACCAGTGTGTTGTAAGAAGCAATAAACTGAAGAGCAGCTACGGTAAGGGTAGGTAATCACTATGTTTTACCAAGGCAAAATTAATAGCTAAATATGTCTGATTTTAGTTAGCACTTTAGTTAGCACATCCCAGATTGGCTTTATATTTTAGTGACAGTTTTCTATTTGCAGAGCATCTTTTTGTTCATTCAATTTTTTGGCTATAAAATCATTCTTTCTCTATCCCAACATCATCACAGCTACAATACCACCATTAATAAATACTCCCTTATTTTTCTCACATCAATAGATGTGTAAATATATGTCATCGTTTACTCACTGATCCTTCAAAAACAAGCACCAGTGAAAAAATAAAACTACTCTTCATGAAAACACCTCAAGGATGTGTTCCAGTTTTGGAAAATCATAGAGAGGATCAGGGAACAGAATCCTTTTCAAACTAGGGGTCCATTTGGAAATGAAAATGAAAAAAACGGAAGTAAAGTGAATGAATCACAGCTCATTTTATTCTGCTGGATATAATCATCTAGGACTAACATACATAATATTTGCAGTTAGTTCTTGTTTGACATCTTGTTTGTCTAAAGAAATCCGCTCAAGATCCTGAGTGCTAACACACTCCTTGAATTCCTATCAGTATCCCTGTTTAACCTTTGCTGCTACAAAGGTTCATAAATAGTTCTGCCTTTTGGCATGGAATTATGCAGAGAGAGAGTCTATAATGACAGCCTTCAGTGATGAAGCAAGTACAGAGAAAGTTCAGTAAATAAAGTGTGAGATTGTGGTTCCAGTTTCCAAAAGTATAGGAGGGAAAGGCTGTGTGCAAGACAGCTGCCCCGGCTTCTAAAGGTACACCGAGGAGCAAAGATTTCCAGCCTTCTTTGAGTCCCAATAGCCATTGAATAGCATGGCTTTCAATGTAACTGGAAATTTCCATTCTGTGGTTTTAAACATATGAATTTCAAATCAATTCTAGGGTGGCTTCCATCTGGTAGGATTTTATTAAATGGTATCTGTTTCTAAATCTTCCTGATACCTTTGTTTATCCATAATCTTGCCTCCTATTCTTTATAAGAACTATTCTTAAATTATACAGACCTATAAAAAATAAAAATATTTTTAAATTTAGGTAAGAAGAATGCCAAAGGCTAATCTAATTAACAATCTGATTTTTACCCTTGCTCTACCATTTCTTCAATATCCTTCAAAATATTAATTTGATATAAAAACAAAATGTCACACTACTTGTATATGCATATGAATGCAAGTTGTGTCTTCATGGCATATGGTATTCAGTTAAGCCTGGTATAGCTGACATATGTTGAAAAAAAATCTTTCTGGTATTAGATATTTAAATTTATTCATTTGCATTTTGCTGTGGATAAAATGACACTGGGCATTTATGGCACTTATAGAGATACCATTTTTCTTGAACAAATGGTTCTTGTTTATTTAAACCTTTCAAAAGAGTTACTGGAAAATTTTTCATATGCAGAATGAGAGTCCCAGATCTCTACTTCTGGTAATAAATTCAATTTGCAATAAGCTGGAGTCCAGTCTTACTTAGTCAGGTGATTTTCAGTGGACTTTTAGTTTTGAAGGTACCAGTCCATAAATTTACAATATCTCAAAGAATGGCAGGCTTCACAATGTCTCCCTCTCCTGCTGTCATTTCATGCTCTTCTATACTGAGGGAGTTCACTGACTTTTTTTTTTTAAATATACTGATAGTCTGCTCATTGTAGTCTTAAATATTTACCTTTGATTTCCACTTTGTTCCTAGGCCAGTATTAAATGTGTGAACATCTGTAGTGTCCAGAAGAGTGCTTTGCATAGTTCTTTTAATTCCTCATTCTTGATCATGATAAGCAACACTGAGTCCCAGAACTGAACTGCTAGCTTGTCGTACTGCAAAAAGTCTCGATAACAAGTCTTTCCAAAAATTGGACTCACTTCTTTAATGTTGCCATGGCAATAACATTCTGCAAATTCCTAAGTGAAAGTTTTTAACCTAATGTGAATAACTTAATCAGGGAAAGAGCACTCAGAAGTTCTAGATCTATGTGTTCTACTTTCCTAGGCATCCATAATAATAATGTACATTAACTTGAATTTATTTTAGGAGGAGGAATGAGAACGAATCATTCTTTACTGGGAGAGTATAATATATTTTAAATACGTAGTCTGAGTGAGTGCAAAAAATGGAGAACACCGTTTGTAAAGTTAAATTGAAACACACTAAACGAAAGTGCTCAGTAGTTCCATAGCTGCATGAACTACACTCTTGAGTGATGGTAGTCTTCTGCTCTTAGCTTTATTTCCTCAGAAGAGTAAGATAAATTCAGATAGGTAGAGGAGATCTGTTCAAATTAAAACTGCATTGTTCAACATAGGATTAGTAAGAAGCTTGAACTGAGACCGTGAGTCTGAGATGTGTTGATCTAGACAAAACCTCTGTGGGGCCTCAGCATCCCTAGAATGGGATATCTAGCCATCCACTATCCATCATATTTGAGAAGTTGTACCGGTCCACTGAAGTACCCACTGACTGGAAA